CTCATTGCACAGGGTAGAGTGCCTGGCTTGAGCAGCCCATGAGGGATGTCGAGCAAGGCATCGCACAGAGAGTTGCCCAATATGCAGGCGTCTCTGGGAGGCATGTTGGCCTGCATAAGGGTTGCCTGCCCGAGCCTCCCTTTCCCAGAAAAACGGCAAAGGACAGGTCGAGAGCGCTTCGGGTCAAGCTAACAGCCTGATGGCGACTCTTGTACACAGTCTTAATGTTTGATTTGGGAAAGTACAACCTCTGCCTCTATCCCTCAACATATGGGTGACCTATTTGCTTGTAAAAATATAAAGCCTTATCATTAATTAATAAAAAAAGGGGGATATGTAGGGAGCCGTTCCTGCATTCTCCATTACAATGATGGTGCCTGCAGGCACCGAATGTAAATTATTTCACAGGCGCTGGGTAATTTCCATTCCTTTGATCTCTGCCTATCCCGTGGCTCATTTGGCCTGAGGAGCTGAAGCCATTCATAGGGTGACATGTCCCAGGCGGCCGCTGCCAGCCTTTATTAAGGGATGGGATTCTTGGCTCGGGGTCTCCGCTCTGGTAAGCTTATGCTCTCCCACTCTCAAGATGCATTAAAGCTTTCCTGCAGAAGGATCCGAGTGTCCTGTGTTGTTCTTGCCGGCGAGAACATAGCGCGCGGGACAAGGTAGAGTCTCATGTAGCCCAGGCTGGCTTCAAACACAGTATTCAGCAGAGAATGACCTTGAACTCACAACCCTCCTGCCTCCACCTCCCAAGTACTAGGATAAATACATGTGCCTCCATGCCCAGATTTCAAAAAAAATTCTTTTTTTTCTTTTTTCTTTCTTTCTTTCTTTCTTTTTTTTTTTTTTTTTTTTTTGATTTTAAAGACAGGGTTTCTCTGTGTAGCTTGGTAGACCAGGCTGGCCTCGAACTCAGAGATCCATCTGCCTCTGCCTCCCAGTGCTGGGACTAAAGGCGTGCGCCACCACTTCCTGGCACTCAAAAGAGTTCTTTAAGAAATAAATGAGGGCTGGAGAGATGGCTCAGCCGTTAAAGGCTAGGCTCACAACCAAAAATATAAGAAATAAATGAGTAGATAAAATAACAGCAATGGTTGTCATTTATGAAGCACCTGCTCCATGTAGACAACTCAGTTATTGTACACATATTCCCCCATCTTTAGCCCAACCCTGAAAGATGGATATTAATGGCTCAATTTAGGAAAAAGAAAACTAACTCTTAGTAAAGATTAGGTAACTTGCCAATGTCACAGATCAATGATGTGGTTTTTGTTTGTTTTTTGTTTTTTTAAAATGGAGTGTGCTGGATGTCTCCACAATTTTGTTCAAATGACTGCAGAACCTGGAAAAGCTGTTGCTGCTATTGATGCATAACATACTGCCATTATTGCTCTTTTTATATAAATATATATATATGTGTATATATATAAGCTAATTGAAACAAAAAAGATCTATTTTATTTTAATCATGTGTATGTTTATGTTTATCTCTCTCTTTGTGTGTGTGTGTGTGTGTGTGTGTGTAGTGTGTTTGTGTCTGTTTGTCTGTTTGTGTGTAAGCACAAGTGTAGGTGCTCTCGGCATCCAGAAGAGGATTTGGATTGTCTGGAGTCATAGGTAGTTGTGAGCCAGAGGATCAGGGTTTTGTTGTGAGACTTCGTCTCCTAGAAACATCAGAGTCTGTACCATACAGTCTCTCTAGCATGACTGCCAAAATGTGAGCTGAACAAGAACAACAACAATAGACACGCCAGAGTGGAGGGAGTAAAGACCACAAGGCCTCCACCCTATACAAAGAACTACAGGTAACTAAGGAATGCCAGGAGTGGGGGGGAAAGCCTTCCCCAGGGAAGAGCACACCAATTCCTTATGCAAAGCCAAATGGCCATTCCTGAAGACATACATGTAAATATACAGACTGAGCAGGCCATATTTAGGAATATATATGTATAGACACATATATACATATGTATAGATATGAATGTAATAGCAATTAATGAAAAAAAAGGGCATGAATTTGAACGAGACCATGGAGGGATGTACTAGCAGTTTTGGAGAGAGCAAAGACAAGGAGGAAACAATGTGATTATATCATATTCTCCCAAATAAATAAAATAATTATAAAAGAAAATTTATCAGAGTAAAATCAGAAGGCTTCTTTCTGTTTGTTTGTTTTCTTAAAGACAATATAAATGAGACTCCTTAAAGTTTTGGAACCATTTAAGGAAGTCCTTTAATCCTGAAACATCTAGTAATGCTACCACCAAAGTAAGATTTCAACTTTTGGTGACTGTAATGTGAATGAATTATCACATTTTGTCAGCTGGGGTCTGATTGGACATACTTAATCTCAAGGTTGTTGTGTGAAACTTGGGGGGAACTCTCCTTGGAGTCTGCACCAGGAGCTGGCCTTGGTTCCCTGCTGTGTACCACAGTGTTTCCAGTTCCCATAGCACAACAGCGTCACCTCTGGGCATTACAGTCATCTGCCTTGCAATTCTAAACTGTAACTGTGACCTGAACACTGATCTTCTTAGAATAGCAGTTAATTGACACAAAGTTATCCAGATTTGAGAAGGTTCCAATAGAAAATGCCATACTTACAGTGATGCTTTGACACATGAATGTGTTTAAAAGTGTCATTAGCTCTGATCTCATTTGCCAGGGTACAGCAGGAAATGAAGGCTCTAACACACAGGAGGCCTATTTTCACACGTTCAGCTCGTTGCTCACAGGTTTCATATTTCTTAAGAACAGCTCCGTCATAGCAACACTTCTTTGGCACTTGATGTTTGTATGTAGAAGCTGAAATGAGATAATAGCCGTGTCCTTATCACCAACAGCCATAACACCCTGTAGGGATCTCAGGGGCTATTTTTCTGCCATCCAAGGACTCCCCGCCCCTGCAGATACATATTTAGGTATAACAAATATTTTAGAAAGATTAGACATGAGAATTATAAAGAACTGTTTTCCTTGAGTTAAGGATATGGCCAATAATATCCTGAGTTTACCTGGATGAACATTTCTGAGTGATGAACTAACCCCCACATGCATTTTTCCCCCACCTGCTGCATGTTAATTAGGGAAACCCCGTGCCGCATGTTCTCTGGTCTGTGAATGCTACAATCTCGGTGTTTTACAGCTTGTGAAGTACCTCGTTCATTTATTTTCTGTTGCAGGTAATCTGCTGGCTGGAGAGTCACACCTTGTGCTTCACCTGTGAGGGAGAGAATGGAATGGGGGACAGTGCTCAGTGTCACATTGTTGTCATATTACTTAAAAGTAGATCTTGTCCCTTGGGTATTATCATAATGCACTGGGCAACTTCAGAGTTAATCTTTTGTTTACATAACTGCCTGACTCATCACTAATTGCTTATTTTCCCTAACATCATAAACCTAGAAAGATCCTCCCAAGGCCAGGCCCCAGGGGGATTACACACCTTCTGTTATGAACATGAGCCTACAAGGCCTGGGTAGCTTCCTCTGGACTAACAGGCAAGCTGACCCCAGACCCCTGAACAGCCACTGAAGCATTACAGTACCTTGATTTGCCACTTGGTGCTGCAGGTCACTTATTGGCATGAGAGTTATTTTGTAAGCTTTATCTGTGAGGGGGGGGGGTGGGAAAGGCATAAAATCTTTATAAAACAGCTCCATGACAGTGTTCTATTCTACATCATTGTGGCCCTCCTACAACCTCTAACAAGCACTGACTCCCCAGCTCTATACCCAACCAGGACTTCCCATCACACTGGCTGGGGCCTCTTCCCCACCTGGGAAGGGTTTGCATCAGCTATGCTACTGAAAGAATTACTCAGGAAAACTAACTTTTTATAAATAGTGTGGATGGAAGATTACCATGTTCTTTAATGTCAAAGTGTGTCGTTCCATTGGTTGTAGCATCTTCTCTGTATTTAGCCTTAATTGTCCATCTACCATATCTGTGGAAGCCAGATGTTTGAAATCAGAGACAGTACCAAACAGTTTAAATCAAGAGGAAATGTAGTCATTTCTATTCTTGAGATATGTGAGGATACATACACACATACACATGTACATGAACACACCCTAAGTAAAAGTGTGGAGGAAAGATTTTTAAACAATAATTAGACAACTGAGATTTCAAAAAGAAAAGGAATTGTTTAACCTTAGTTTTTCATATTGTATACATTCCCTACATCTTTTACCTTAATATAGTAATTTTTTTTGGAGAACTGATGATGATATCAGCATTTTCTTAACCCCAGAATTCATAAGTTAAAGTCACAATATAGTAAAAAAATTGATAATAATGTCTCTGGAAGATGACATGCCAGTGATGAAAATCACACCTCATATAAGCAGAATTGTATTTGGAAATAAAGCATGGATTGTTAAAGAATAAAATAACCTGTTCAACACCCTTCATTCAAAAATAGTTAGTGAGGTTAGACAGTGGTGGCATGAAACTTTAATCATGGCACTCAGGAGACAGAGGCAGGTGGATCTCTGGGTTCAAGGCGAGACTCTCTGCAGAGTGAGAACAGCCAGGGCAACACAGAGAAACCCTGTCTTGAAGAACCAAAAAAAATCAAGCAACACAAAATTAGTGAGTAGTACACTGATATAAGAAAAGGAACAAGACAGATGAACCACAGACTTTGCAGCCTCCAGTCCATGCCAATTCAGATTTTCACACATTTTTCCTAGCAGGTTTGATCAGGCAGTCACTGCATCTCATTTGGGAAATAAGAAAAATATTATGTACCATGCAGATAAGTGATGTGATCTATGGAGGTGCATATCACCGTTTTCATGACTACTATCAGCAGTTCATTAAAATATTTAGCCAAGTGCCTATGATGCTGAATTGCTGAGCTAAAATAAACTCTATAGACAAGGGTCTGGCCCTTAAGGGATTTAGAGTCTGATATTGGGCAGGGTACATAAATAAATCATGAAAGGCACAGAGCTAAAAAAGAAAGTGCACAGGACATGTGTACCCCAACACACACACACACACACACACACACACACACACACACACACACACACACACACACAAGTTCATCTAATGTTGCTCTTATGTGCATGGGTTTGAGACTGACTACTCAGGATTACATCAGCTGTGGGAACTCATTTCTGGGTAAAACCAACTCACCCTGTAGGCAGCCACTGACTGCCTATAACTCTTCATCTAGGAGAGGCCTTTAAAATTTGTCCCATCTATGTTGGTATGTCAACTACAAAGATACACAACCACTCAAAATACAGAGAGTATGTGGCCATGGGCTACCCATCACTGAACTATACAGCTAAAACATAACCCCACACCTAAAATCAGGGGACCTTATGGAACAGATCAACGGATTCAGATGAGCAGGATGTGTACGAAATCTTAGAAATGTGGTTGCCTAAAAGCTCTACAGTATTGGTAGAGCTTTTAACTCAGCAGGGGCACAGTGACACATTGTCATTATTCCACCATTTTTAGTTCATGTCATAGCCAAGTCTTGATCCACACACAAAAATAAAAATAGCACCATAAGCCCCACACTGTTTCCTCTCTTGCCAGTACTGTATAAGCCCTACAAAGATGGCCCTTTAAAACATGTCTAACCAAGGCAACCAGGTAAAATCAATATGATGAGTAAGCCGCCCACGCTCTGCAGTCTCCTTCCTTCCATGCTGTCTCCACCTCAGATTCCCCTCTATGGACAACCTGCCTTCGTGTGCAGGTGTCAGGAAGGAACTGTTAGCAGCCTGTGGACAAAGCTACGATCTTAGGTTCTAAAGTTCAAAACTGTGGTCTTGACTCACTGCCTCCTCTTCCCTGCTCTGAGATAGCTTGACTTTTGAACCTCACTGATAAAACAGGAATATTAGTGTCACCTTCCAATAACACTCACAGATACAAAGGCAGTCTCCATATGACTCATCACAAAAGTAGTAACAAATGTTTAAGCTAATATTATAATTTCAATTACTTATTTGCATAGTTTTTTAAGATTTTATTTATTTATTATGTATATAACATTCTGCTTTCGTGTATATCTGCACACCTGAAGAGGGCACCAGATCTCATAATGGATGGTTGTGAGCCAACATGTGGTTGCTGGGAATTGAACTCAGGACCTCTGGAAGAGTAGTCGGCGCTCTTAACCTCTGAGCCATCCCTCCAGCCCAACTTATTTGCATAGTTTTAAACCTAATTTTTAGTTAACTTAGAATATTAATCTTAGTGTATTAGAGGCAAGATCAAGAAAATCTGTATATTGAAGCCAAGACTTCATTGAAATGCCTTCTTTGTGCTAGACAACCAAGGTGTGGTGAAAAAGTCACACATGGATGTCTTGTAGGAGAGAAGAAATACAATTATGTAAATTTCCAGGAGCAAGGGTGCTGTAAAGGACACTCCCTTGGTTTTTAATAGTACAAGAAAGGACTGAGGATGTGCCTAAGTGTTGTAGCACTTTCCTGAGATGCAGGAGGCCCTGGAGTGTATGCCTGGCACTGATAAAAGGAGTTGAGATGATTGGGGAGGTCCTTCTGTGTATGTTTGTCTCATCAGTTGATGAATAAAGCACTGTTGGCCAATAGGAAAGCAAGATAGGTGGGACTAGGAGTGGAGGAGGATTCTGGGAAATGTAGTAGTTGGATAGTTGCCATGTTACCGCCAGGAAGACAGGATGCATTCCGCTGTTGTCCAATAAGATAAGTCCTTATAAAAATACAGATTAATAGTTATAGTTGATAATTAAGACTGAGCTAGCAAATTGAGAAATCCTAGTCATTAGCCATAAGCATTGTGCCTAATATAAGTCTCTGTGTGTTATTTTGGCCGCCCACGTGGCGCCGTGGCTCAGGCCACTTGGCAGAAAGATTTATTCTTACAAAATGGTGGCAGAAGTGGGATTATGAACTTCCACATAAAAACTTGACAAATGCTTAAAAAGGGATTTTAAAAACAAAAGAACAGAGACAAGCAGGACTTCTTGGTAGCAGCATTTTCTCAGGTTGTCTTCGTTTGTAAGAGACAAGCAATGGCCCATAGCTCCGCTAAGAGAGGCTTCCTGACTCAGCATAATCAGCAAAAACCGCAAGGCTCTTTAGAGGTCTTGCTAAGAATTCAATGGTGTGTATGAGCAGCTGGTAGTGGCAGTAACCACATCTCCAAACCGGCAGTGTGCTGCTTGATTGCAGTATAGACCAAGGCAGCAAGCACAGCTCTCACTGCTGGCAGTAAACTTTCTCCCGCCATCTTGGAAAGACAGCAGCTAAAGCAGCTGTCACTTTACTTTTAGCAGTGTTGTTTAACAGATAAAAGATCGAATGGCCATTAAAAGGCAAAAATTTACAATAAAGACAGATTCAGATAAAGAAAAACCTCTAAAGGTTTACAGTGTGTTTAAAAATATACTTAGGATCCGAGAGAAAAAGAAACAGGATAAACTGGTTAAAAAAAAGAAGAAGAGAAATAAAAAGAGTAGCTGGGAGTGTTGGTGGCACATGCCTTTAATCCCAGCACTCCAAAAGCAGAGGCAGGCAGATTTCCACAGAGAAACCCTGTCTCATAAAAGAAAAAAATAAAAGTAAAAGAAATAGAGTAAAGAAAAAGCTATGTAAAGATGGAAAATACAGAGACTTGGATATTTGTTATATTGTTGTCTTTAAATTGTTTGTTTGCCAAGAAAAGAGCTACAGCTGCTACAATATATTTGATTATCAATGCTGCTAAATTAATCCAACTTATATATTTTAAAAATGCTTTGATTTCAAAATTTAAGTCTAAGGACAGGCTACTTGGGAAAAAAATTACTGCTTTTGTTTACTCAGAAAATGAAAAGCTGTGTATTCCTTCCAGACTGATATGGTTTGACCAAGCAAGGCCCCCTGAAGCAACAGCCCAACTGATCCTACATCTAAAACAGCTGAGATGATGCAGTCATAGACCACTACAGCCAGATTTCTGTGTTTTATCATGATCCCATGGTATGGACGACATCGCCCCCAACCAGCAGGAAGCAGTTTGCAGTGAACAATGCTCAAATTCACAAATATTGTTTATAAATATTTGTTTTCATTTAAATGGGATTAGTTATAAATGGTAATGATCACAGTCAATCTCTTTTTAAAGGAAAAAAGAGGAATAGGATATAAAAATGAATACTTTGCATTGGTATGGATTTTCATTAATTGATACAAATTTAAGGTCAATTTTGTGATATGTATATGTCTCCTCTTGTTTGGGTGTTGTGTTTATGCAGATGTTTTGAAATGTAATGCATAATTAAATACAGATTAAATAGTCACCTATAATAGTCAAAAGTTACAGTTAGGCTAGTTGGGTTTTCTAGATATACAGAGATGTATTTGAGGTGGATGGGTATTCTTCAAACCTTTCAAAAATGTACATAATATTTGGCATTTAAGTGGTTTAGGGTTTTTCTTGGCAGTGAGACACAACTGCTCCTGGCACACCAATTAGGTCAGAAAGGAGGTGGGCATCAAAGAAGCTCGTTATGTAGTTTGCTTTCAACATGACAAGATTGGACATTTGGGCAGGAAATTGCTCTTGCCTGGACTGTTTGGTGAACTGGACATGCAGGACCTACAGGAAAGGGACTGCTAAACTTGCAAAACAAGACAGTCCTGAAGGGTTCCTGCTTCTTTTTTTTTTTTTCTTTTGGTTTTTCAAGACAGGGTTTCTCTGTGTAGCTTTGGAGCCTATCCTGGCACTCGCTCTGGAGACCAGGCTGGCCTGGAACTCACAGAGATCCACCTGCCTCTCTCTCCCAAGTGCTAGGATTAAAAGCATGAGCCACCAAAGCCCAGCTGGGTTCCTGCTTCTTGGAGAAGTCTTCCATACACACTGTGATCTGTAGGCTGAATATGGATGCCCCAACGTTACAGAGGAACTTTGGGTGACTGTCCAGGTATCGAGATGTCTCTGTCAGATCTAGAATTTATATATTATCCTTCTGTTGTCTTTGATGGAGTTGAAGACAGATAGTTATGGTTATAGTTTTCTATAGTTATTATAAAAGATAAGTTACATATATGACCTTAGACTCACAAAGATAGGATAGATGATAGAATATTTTCATTAAAATCTTGCTAAATGTTAATGGACTAAATATTGTAACTATACTTCTTACTTGATAACTGTTTTGTTATATATTTTACTATGTTACTGTTAAAACCCTTCTTTTTATTTTAGACAGAAAAGAGATGATGGGGGAGGGCCTTCTGTGTATGTGTTTATCTTATTGGTTGATGAATAAAGCACTATTGGCCAATAGGAAAGCAAGATAGGTGGGACTAGGAGTCAAGGGGGATTCTGGGAAATGTAGTAGAGGGACAGTCGCCTTATGACCACCAGGAAGACAGGATGCATTCTGTCCAATAAGATAAGTCCTTACAAAATATACAGATTAATAGTTATGGTTGATAATTGAGACTGAGCTAGCAAATGAGAAATCCTAGTCATTGGCCAGAAGCATTGTACCTAATATAAGTCTCTGTGTGTTATTTTGGCCACTCACATGGCGGGGCAGAACACAGGTGGCTAGGCAGAAAGATTTATCATTATAAGGAGACAGACGGTATGGAAATGTGAGTGGGGTGGCAGTGCAAACTGTAACTACAGGGTCCTGTAAGGGATCCATGAATGCAGACGGTACCAGAAGGAGTTACTGAGGCAAAGGAAAGGTTAGAAATGCACTATGCAGAGGTAACAGCACATTGTACCCACCTCCATATGGATGAGAAGTGGTGGAAAGAGTACCTGAACGGAGAGCACTATCACTTGAGTCCACAGTCAACTGTGGGGTGTAGTATATAAGGGAGCTGGGGAAGAGGGCAGGACATTGGCTATACAGAATTCAAAGATTCTAGAAAATATCCTAAGGTCCTTTATCCTAGAAAGTCTGAGAGATGAGCATCTATTAAAAGATGCTTAGGCTAATAATCCTTCAAGTATCTTCACATTAAATATACTGATAGGATAAAGGACTTTAGAGTATCCTTATAGGCAGAGATTACCATCTCCTGTACCAAGAGGTCTTGTTGGAGTCAGATCAGCAGTTCTGGCAATGACTTTGTCTAAGCTGGTGGCAACATCCTCACCCTGTGCAGGTCTTTCCTTTCCAAGCCAGTGTAACGTGTGCTCCTGCCAAATGTGGTGATGGCCATATCGCCCCGTCCCACCTCACTGTGGACATCATCAGTGCCCACCAAAAGTAGAAGATCTCTACTGTACACAAGGTTAAGACAAAATAAAATGTGAGAATTCTGCTTCCTCTTTCAGTCCTTCCCCCGAAAGTACCATCAGTGAAACTTACCAGCCTCCTCCGGACACACGCACATCTTGGATGGTTATCTCTAATTGTCTAGAGATGGCAAGTGGCAGGTGAAAACACAGGTTCTACAAGCAATGCTGACCTCTTTTCTGTGTCTCATTTTCATGTCTTTGTGGGTATTGTAGGCTTTCCTTGATCACAGGGTCTTTCGTGTCATTCCCCCCGAAAGTAAAACTGTGAATGTCAAATGCTGCTTGACAGACACTTTCTTAGGTGGCTAACCTTGAACATCAGAGTCTAGGCATCTCTGTGAGCTATGTTAGTCTCTGCAAGATGCCTTATCCTCTTCATTTGGATTTTTTTTTTACAACTTTGGGACAAGCTACTGAATCCAAGAATGATTTACAAACAAGATTTAAAATAAATAATTTCCCAGTGCCAAAAATTATATTTGCAATTATGTCTTCTGTATTTTTGATGAATAAATTCTCTAGCAGGCCAGATAAAGTAATCATTGGTTATGTTACTTATTTAGCAAGTCCTTTATAAATTAAAAATCAAAGTGCTATTTGAGACTATAAAAGTCGTTAGGATTTGAGTTTCTCTTGAGTAAAGTGGGAACTGGTCTTCTCTCTATTTCAGATGTTACAATTTCCACATGTTTATGTCATTCTCCCCTGAAAGAGGCATCAGATACTCTACCGGACTCCTGTGGAGTGTAGACAGGCTTGTCAGTGTGGATGAAGAGAGAGCCATTGTCATGGATGATTGGAATTTTTTCTGATTTTGAAAAATGCTTTGACATGACTTCCAAATACACATATGAAAATGAGCTTTGTCCTTCAGACAACTGTTTGGCCTGAACCTGTAAAACAAACAAACAAACACCACAATGGGAAAGTATGATTGTAGAGTTCTAAAGCGTGCTGATCCTGTAAGAAAAAACAACCACTGTAATCTCATAAGACTACAGCTGAGCTTGTGTGTTGTATCATTTTCAAAGAGTTACACTGGGCTGCAGAGATGGCTCAGCAGTTAAGAGCACTGGTAGATCTCCCAGTAGACAAATGTTCAGTTCCCAGCACTCACATGGCAGCTCAAACCTCCTCTGACTGCAGTTCCAAGCATCCTATGCCTTCTTCTGTCCTCTGTGGTTATTGCTCACAATGGTACCCAAATAACATGCAGGCAAAATACCCATACACATGAAATATAAAAGATACTAATGAGCCAGTTGTAGTGGTGCACACCCTGAATCCAAGCAGAGGATTTGGGAGGCAGAGGAAGGCAGATCTCTGTGAGTTCAAGATCTACAGAGCTAGTTCCAGGTCAGTCAAAACTATTAGCATATCTGCCTATACAGAGATTACCATCTGGTATACCAAATTGTCTTGTTGGAGTCAGATCAATGTTTCTGGTGATGACTCTCTGTCCAAGCAGGTGGCAACATCTCACTCTCTCTAGGTTGTTCCTTTCCCAGCCTTGTCTCAAAAAGAACAAATAATAATAATAATAATAATAATAATAATAATAATAATTTAAAATAATACATAGTACTACAGTGCAGCACTACAGAAGCTGAGGCAGGACGATCTGTTTTTCAAGTCTATCTAGGACTACATGGTAAAAATCTGTCTCATAAATATATTCAGCGTAACAAACTTACTAAAACCATTACAGGAACTTAAATAATAATTTAATTTGCCAGAATCCCTTCATAGTTTCATATCATAATAAAATTTTAGCATTAAGCAGTCAGAATCTTTTTGGTGCCATGTTTCCTCTATTTCAGACATATTTAACAGAACTGCTATTATAGAAACTTTGTAGGAAACTTTGCTTTATCAGCTTCTGGATGAATTGTTTTCTCTGTTCTCTCTGCACAGTGTCCTAGCCGATGGCCTGGACACTTCACATCACATCACAGGCTTCTGTGCCCACATCATAGACACACACATTCCAGTTTGTGTATGCAATTACCACCATACCCTTATATTCAGTGACTTGGGGATGGCATATACTAACACAGATAATCAAAGAAAAGAGTATTTCCATGAAAAATTAGGGTTCAGAAACACAGGGGTAAAGTTAATCACTAAAATGAACTGCATTGAGATTGTTATAAAAGTTTGGAAACAGTGAAAAGAAATCTATAGATTTTCTGCACTGAGATGTATTATAGATGTCTTGAGTTCTTTCTCTATTGTTAAAAAACAAACTTCAGCTTTTATCATGGTGTTTAGCTTGATGTTTTGTGGGACTCCAGTGGAAATGGGATGTCTCCTACTCTTTCATCTGCTCTTGGGACCCTTTTCCTCCTACTGGGTTCCTGCCTAGTGTTACCCAATCTTGCTATGCCATGTCCAGTGGATATTCCTGGGAGCCTGCTCTTTTCTGAAGGGAAATGAAGCAGGAGTGGATCTGAGAGAAAGGGAAGGCGGTGGTGGTGGTGCAGAAATGGCAAGAGAGGAGAGAGGGGAAACTGCAGTCAGGATGCATTGAAAACAAAAATAGTATTCATTAATTGTATAAAATTCAATTTTAAAAAGGCGACTCAAGGACAAGACTGTGACAAAACATTAATTGGCAAAAAAGATGCCTTATAGTGTTAATATAAAATTAATTATATGTGTATCAATATTTATGATTCCTCCCTGCTCCTCAGGCTCCTGAGATAACCAATAAGCTCAGATCAGTGGGATTTCCTGTGGTGAAGAATATGTCCTGTAACTGTGCTGTCCAAACACATGGCTATGGTATTACACCAATTGCATTTAGTTGATTGAACTTAAAGACAAATGTTCCTGGTGGCTACCATGCCTCATAATAGAGTGGCCAGAGAGAGTAAGAGTTTGGGAAAATGGGCTTTAAATTTTCATATATCAAGTAGTTGGGAAGCCTCTTTTATAGAGATTAGAAGGTTTATTCTCAAGAGCATTAATGAAATAATTCCTATGTTTAGTTAGAATTGATTCCAAACTGTGTTTCCCAATATGAGTAATAGTATATATTACCATTAAAGAATAAAGACACAGAAGATTCATATAATTAGCATTTTGTTGTTTACAATGCAATAAAAATCATTTGCAATGTGTAATATATAAAAATATTTCAAATATCTATCATCTATCTATAGATTGGTTGATCTATCATCTGTCTATAATACTTGAATTAAGCAGAAATCTTACACCTATGGTTTTTAGGGATTTAAAAACTAAAGCTGGCACTGTCGAGATGGCTCCATTTTTGAGGACCTGGGTAGGATCTGGACCTTGTTTCCAGCCCCCATGCCATGCAGCTCACAACCACCTGTAACTACAGTGTTCACCCATTTGACTGGCCTCTGAGGGCCAGCATGTACCTGGTTCACATGAAGCACACATGCAAACACACACATAAAGAACTTTTTTAAATTAAAAATAAAAACTTAAAAATATGAGAAAACCCATAGAACTCTAACATTAAGCACTTTGTAATGTTTTCCTTTTTCCTTATGTATTTCTCACTCTCGAGAAACTTCCCATTTCTATGGAATCACAGAACCTCTTCTAGAGCTGAGGCTCTCTCATTTTTTTGATTTTCTTTTATCAGAATTTTAGTAAGATGGGATGCAAGTACTTTTGTAAACAATTTGTATTAAAATGAGTGTTTGTAGCACTGGGGCTTGAACCCAGGGCCTCATGCATGCCAGGCAAGTGCTCTACCACTGAGCTATGTGTCCCCCATCTGGAAATGTCTTAATAGAAGAAAAGGGCTTTGCTGAAGCTTGCTATTTCTCTTGCTGATTATTAGTGAGCATTGTTCACTGTAGTAACCAAACATTTTACAGGGCCTATAGTTCAGTGGTAGAGTGCTGGCCTAACATGAGACCCTGGTTCCACTCCACCACATACACTTATGTTTCTTTACTGTTTTTTTTCTTCTTTTTCCATTTTTTTCTTCAATTTTTTAAAATTTAAGTTAGAAACAAGCTTGTTTTACATGTCAATCCCAGTTCCCTCTCCTTCCCCTCCTCCCCTGCCCCCCCACTAACTTCCTATCCCATACCCTTTCTGCTCCCCAGGGAGGGTGAGGCCTTTCATAGTGGATCTTCAGAGTCTGTCATATCCTTTGGAGCAGGGCCTAGGCCTTCCCCCCATGTGTCTAGGCTGAGAGTATCCCTCTATATGGAACAGGCTCCTAAAGTCCATTCGTATGCTAGGGATAAATACTAATTCACAACCAGAGGACTCATAGATTGCCGAGGCCTCCTCACTGACACCCACGTTCAGGGGGTCTGGATCAGCCCTATGCAGGTTTCCCAGATATCAGTCTGGGAACTACAAACCCACCCTTGTTCAGGTCAGCTGTTTCTGTGGGTTTCACCAGCCTGGTCTTGACCCCTTTGCTCATTACTCCTCCCTCTCTGCAACTGGATTCCATTTCAGTTCCGTGTTTAGCTGTGGGTGTCTGCTTCTACTTCCACCAACAGTTGGATGAAGGCTCCAGGATGGCATATAAGGTAGTCTTCAATCTCATTATCAGAGGAGGGCATTTAAGGTAGCCTCTCCACTATTTCTTAGATTATTAGTTGGTGTCATCCTTGTAGATCTCTGGACATTTCAATATTGCCAGATTTCTCTTTAAACCTATAATGGCTCCCTCTATTATGGTATCTATCTTGCTCTCTATTCTTCCCCTGACTCAACCTTGCTGCTCCCTCATGTCCTCCTCTAACCCCCTTCTCCCCTTCTCATTCTCCTAGCTCCCTCTCCCCTCCCCCATGCTTCCAATTTGCTCAGAAGATCCCTTTCCCCTTCTCCAGGGGACCATGTATGTCTCTCATAGGGTTCTCCTTGTTTCCTAGCTTCTCTGGCAGTGTGTATTGTAGGCTGGAAATCTTTTGCTCTATGTCTAAAATCCATGTATGATCGAGTACATACCATGTTTGTCTTTTTGTGACTGGGTTACCTGACTCAGAATGGTTTCTTCTAGTTCCATCCATTCTCCTTCAAATTTCAAGATTCTATTGTTTTTTTTTCCCCCACTGAGTTGTACTCCATTGTACTACATTTTCTCTATCCATTTTTCAGTTGAGGGGTATCTAGGTTGCTCCCAGGCTCTGGATATTACAAATAATTCTGCTATGAACATAGTTGAACAGATGTCCTTGTTGTATGAAGTGCTTCTTTGGGGTACATGCCTAAGAGTGGAATTGCTGGATCTTGTGGTAGACTTATTCCCATTTTCCAGAGGAATCTCCATACTGATTACCAAAGTGGCTATACAAGTTGGCACTCTCACCAGCAGTGGAAGAGTGTTCCCCTTTCTCCACATCTTCTCCAGCATAAACTGTCATTGGTGTTTTTGATTTTAGCCATTCTGACAGGAGTAAGATGGTATCTCAGAGTTGTTTTGATTTGCATTTCCCTGATGACTAAGGATGTTGAGCACTTTCTTATGTGTCTTTCAGCCATTTTAGATTCCTCTATTGAGAATTCTCTATTTAGTTCTGCACCCCACTTTTTAATTGGATTATTTGGTGTTTTGGTGACTAGCTTCTTGAGTTCTTTGTAAATTTTGGAGATCAGCCCTCTGTCTGATATGGGATTGGTGAATATCTTTTCCCATTTTGTGGGCTGCCATTTTGTCTTGTTGACTGTGTCCTTTGCCTTACAGAAGCTTCTCATTTTCAGGAGGTCCCATTTATTAATTGTTGATCTCAGTGTCTGTGCTGCTGATATTATGTTCAGGAAGTGGTCTCCTGTGCCAATTCGCTCACGGGTACCTCCCACTTTCTCTTCTAAGAGGTTCAGTGTGGCCTGGATTTATGTTGAGGTCTTTGATCCATTTGGACTTAATTTTTGTGCATGGCAAGAGACATGGATCTATCTTCAGTCTTCTACTTGCCAGCATCCAGTTATGCCAGCACCATTTGCTTTCATTTTTCCATTGTATCATTTTAGCTTCTTTGTCAAAAATCAGGTGTTTGTAGGCATGTGGGTTAATATCAGGGTTTTCAATTTGATTCCATTGGTCTACCTGTCTATTTTTTGTGCCAATACCAAGCTGTTTTCAGAACCTTAGCTCTATAATAAAGCTTGAAGTCAGGGATGGTGATGCCTCCGGAAGTTCCTTTATTTTACAGGGTTGTTTTGACAATCCTGGGTCTTTTGTTTCTCCAAGTTGAGAATTGTTCTTTCAAGGTCAATGAAGAATTGTGTTGGGATTTTGATGGGGATTGCATTGAATCTGTAGATTGCTTTTGGCAAGATTGCCATTTTTACTATCTTGAACCTACCTTTCCAAGAGCATGGGAGATCTTTCCATTTTCTGGTATCTTCTTTAATTTCTTTCTTTAAAGACTCAAAGTTATTGCTATACATGTTTTTCACTTGTTTGGTTAGCCTTACCCCAAGATATTTTATGATATTTGTGGCTATTGTAAAGTGTGATGTTTCTCTGATTTCTCTCTCAGACCATTTATTGTCAGTATATCGTAGGGCTGCTTGAGTTAATCTTGTTTCCTTCCACTTTGCTGACGGTGTTTATCAGCTGTAGGAGTTTCCTGGTAGAGTTTTTTTTTTTTTCTTTTGCAAATAGTAAAAGTTTGACTTCTTCCTTTCCAATTTTATCCACTTGATCTCCTTTTGTTGTCTTATTGCTCTAGCTAGAACTTCAAGTACAATGTAGTAGAGAAGTGATGATCCAGGCAGGAAGTGACATAGCAAGGAGACTCATATTTAATCGAAGGAGAAACAGGAAGAGTCCCTTTTTCCCCTTCCTCCTCCAGCGGCAGGATGTGATAACCAGCAAAGAGGGATGCCAGTAAGGCTCTGATAAGACAAGTCTTATAACATATATAGATTTATGATAATTAAGACTGAGCTAGCAGATGAGAAGTCCTAGTCATTGGCCAAGCAGCATTGAACCTAATACAAGTTTCTGTGTATTCATTTGGGCCTAACTCAGGCAGGTGGCTGGCATAAAGCTCACACGGCAGTGTGGCTCAGGCAGGTTTGGCAGAAAGATTTATCATAACAGTGGTCTCTTAGTGTTTGCAGAATATCTATTCAGGACCTTCTGGCTTTCAGGGTTTCCATGGAGAAGTCCGGTGTAATTATGATAGGTCTGCCTTTATATGTTACTTGGCCTTTTTCCTTTGCTGCTCCTAATAGTCTTTCTTTATTCTGTATGTTTTGTGTCTTAATTATTATGTGACGAGGGAACTTTTTGTGGTCCACTCTATTTGGTGTTCTGTAAGCTTCTTGTACTTTCATTGGCATGTCTTTCTTTAGGTTGGGAAAGTTTTCTTCTATGATTTTGTTGAATATGTTTTCTGCACCTTTGAGTTGGGTTTCTTCACCTTCTTCTATACCTATTATTCTTAGGTTTGGCCTTTTCATGGTGTCCCATGTTTCCTGGATATTTTGTGTTAGGGATTTGTTGGATTTAAGATTTTCTTTGGTTGATATATCTATTTCTCCTAGTGTATCTTCAATGCCTGAGATTCTTCCATATATTGTATTCTGTTGGTTATACTTACATCTGTAGTTCCTGATTGTTTACCCATCTTTTCTAATTCCAGCGCTCTCTCAGACTGTGTTTTTTTTTATTATCTCTATTTCAGCTTTCAAACCTTGCATTGTTTAAATTGTTTCTTGCAATTTTTTGTTTGTCTTTTCTTCCATTTCCTTAAAGGATTCTCTCATTTCCTCTCGTAGGGTCTCTATCATCTTCATGAAGTTGTTTTTCAGGTCATTCTCTTCTGCTTCATCTGTGTTGGGATATTCAGGTCTTGCTGGTGTAGAGTCCCTAGACTCTGGTGGTGTCATATTGGTCTTTCTGTTATTGAATGAGTTCTTAGTGTTGTCTTCCCATCCCTTCTTCCAGTGGGTGCAGGTGGGGTCTCCTCCTCTCCTTGTGGGTGGGAGCTGGACTAGCACAATGCTGTCAGCAATTTCGAGGTTGCTTGGTCCAACAGGGGTGAGTTGATCTGCCTGCAGACCCCAAGCCAGGAGTTCCCAGAGTAGGCAGGTGGAAGTCGGGCCCAAGGCAAGGGCCTAAGCTCACCTCTGCCCAGTGATCTCAGCAGACTCGCCTTCTTTACTGTTTTTAGTGATAATTCTCATAGACAAATGTTAAAAGCATGCATGGTTTTGTTTCTTTACTGTTTTTAGTGATAACTTCATAGGCAAAATTATTTATAACTCATCTCCAAATATTTCCACATTGATACAATTTTATTTTCCAATAAAAAATGTTAACATGAATGTGCATGGCTCAAAAAGCAAACACAATTGTCTGTTTAGAATATTGTTCATCTCAGGGACTGGAAAGACAGCTCAGTGGTTAAGGGCACTTGCTGCTCTTGTAGAGGACCTGGGTTGTGTGATATCTGGTTTGTATTCTAACAAATAAGCTTGCCTGCAGATCAGAGGGCAGAGCTAATCACTAGCTAACCACAGAAGTCTGGAGGTCTGTACAGATAGACAGGAAGTGAGATGGCTGTGTGGAGAGAGGAATATACGTAGGAAGAGCCAGGAACTGAGTCTCTCTTCGGCTAGGAAGTTGAGGAGGTGAGGTGTGGCTGTGGTTTGCTCCTTTATCTCTCTGATCTTTCAGCATTTACCCCTATATCTGACTCTGGGCCTTCATTATTAAGACCTATTAGAACTTGTGCTATATTTTGTGCCCAATGTTAAGGCATGAATTCACAAAAAGCCGCTTGCCTGTGGCTTTGCCTCCACCAGCACAGGCCAGAACTGCACTCAGGTTCTCTCTTTTCCCCTAAGCCTCTAAGCAAGTTTGGGATTTTTGTTGTTGTTGCAGCCTCCTGCAGCAAACTCCACAGGCCCCAAACTCCAGAAGCATCTGGGTTCCAAATGCCACAGGACTTACCTGCCATAGACTGGCCGGCTCCGCCCTCAGGCAGCTCTCACCAGTCTCATATGGCATGCATTCACCTTTTGTGAAGCAGATGTTAAACTCATGGCCAACTTAGAATGGAATTATCCCTAAAAGACTCGGGTAAAGGCCCTCTGACTTTCTTGGACACCTAAACATACATGTACATAAGCTCACACAGGCACATCCACATAAATAAAAAAATAAATTCTTTAAAAAAGGAAGTTTGTTAAACTGAGATTGTTACCAGTTAGTGATAATTATCTAATAATTATCATAATTATCAGTCTACAATGATAGACTGATACAAGTGACTAGATCTCTGCTATCAGTATTCAAAATTATACATATTTTACCAAAAATATTCTGTGTATATATTTTAAAAGAAAAGCCAAATACTTACTGTTAAGATGGCAGAGTTTCGGAATTTATTTTCTGGTGATAAATTAACAGAGCCTGAAGAGTAACTGATGTTTTCATCAGGATAGCTTTTTACCGAGATGGTTGCATCAAAGGCATGAGTGTGGCCAGGGGCTTGGACTGTGATGTTTGCAGGTACTCCGATTCGGAAGACCGCTGGTACTGAAATGAAGAATCTGTGGAAACAGGACAAGATGCAATAGCTTTGGTGATACACTCCTCTGGTCATGCTCATTTCACTGTAGATGTCTTTTTCTAATAGTTATGTTTAGAAACTATGCTTTGTTTTTGTGATCTGTGACAAATTCAGCGTAGTTTCCGAGAAGAAATAACTTGAAATTAAGTACTGAAAAACAGAGCATGGGATTTGGTTTACAGTTAAAATAGTGGATCTCTGGCCTACTCCACCTGCAGAGAAATAAATAAGGCCATAATGGCATCAACATTTCATATGCTATTGTAAGAATAAAACCACAAAAAAACAAGGCTTACTAGAATATGTAAGTGGGGGCATTTCCCCCCAATGAAATAAAGTATCAAATAGGCACTAGTCATTGAATGCCAGCTTTGTCTTCTGATGGCCAAGTGAGATAAAGTCGCTAGCCTTTTGTCACCTTTTTTGTGGTATGCTAAATAAGCATATACTTCTGATGGCCAAGTGAGATAAAGTCGCTAGCCTTTTGTCACCTTTTTTTTTGTGGTATGCTAAATAAGAATATGTCTATAAATCATCAGCAAGCTACTACTCAAGAAATAATGACACTCACTGAAGTAGTTGGAAGAAAGTGGTCTTGGAAATGTGTTACGTCAGTGGGTGGAGGTAAATCTACCATACTAACAAGGCAGAGAAATACCTACTCGCTGAAGGAGGGAGTCCAGCCTGAGCTAATCTGCTGGAGTGGGGCTGGCTTGTCTGACAGGCATCGAACTGTAGTCACAGGCTCTGAGAGGAATTTTCAGAGCTCATTCATTCCCCCACAGAAAGTCAAGGATGTCCCAGGTACTACTATTACTCTTATGTTCATGTGAGCAAAAGTAATTTGATCAAGGCCACATGGTTTATAAGTGGACAAGGCAGGACTTTGTACTCAGTGTGCTCTAGTTTCTATGTTTATAACTGGGGTCAAGGTTACATGTCTACAATCATAGATTCTTCAGTTTTTATATGGAATTTATACAAAACTGGAATTGAAGGCAAGCTTTGGAACACTGTCATTTTTGGTTTTTGTTTGTTTTTGGTTTTTCCAGACAGGGCTCCTCTTCGCAGTGGACCTGACTTGCCTCCAGTTCAGAGATCCTCCTTTACTTCCTGAGTGCTGGGATTAAAGACATGTGCCACCTCACCCAGCAACGTCTGGTTTTGAAACACAAATTTTAAAATGCATAGTTTTCTTCATTATCTTATTAAGTGGAAACTTACAAAAAATTACATCGCAAGAGTATCTAATTTGAATAAAACTGGATATCTACCATAAAGAAAAGAATTATGTATTAATGCCAAAGGGCTCAGACACTGACTCTCTCCTTTGTTTTTTTGTTTTGTTTTGGTTTGGTTTGGTTTTGGTTTTCTGAGACAGGGTTTCTATGTATAAAAGCTCTGGCTGTCCTGGA